ATCATCCACAAGTTGTTGTTTCTGACCATTTGGGTTAGGTAAGTGAAAGATCTTTGCTAATGTTTTCAGCTCAGGGGCTGAAAGCAAATCCAACCCTTCACACAGGTCTTCCAATTCAGATTCTAAAAGTAAAATGATCCACATATACATTTGTTACACGTTACAGATGCATATCAAAGCAAAAGTGGAAAGTATTTAGATAATCTTACTTTCCTATAACCTAGAACTAATCTAATGATTTATATTCCTCAAATACATGCGTTACTGATGCCAGCTGTTCCAGCTTGAAATTCATTATCTTCAAAGCGCCACTCTGAAAGAATGGAACAATCCGAAAAATCCTATGGCAACTTCAAAGCAAAAGCAAACATAAAGAAATTCTGCTGAGCTAAACATCGCAGCCCAGGAAAACTTTTCTGGCTTACTGATGACTGAAACTGTTCACCCACTGCAAAAGCATTTCCTTTCAGCGAGCAGCAAGAGCTTCCCCCAAGGCAGGCTGAGCCAGGAGCCAAGGTGACCGCAGCACAGGCAGTGTCCACACTGTGTGGACAGGAGGGGCAGAGCACAGGTGCTGCTGACAGATCTCACCAGCAGCACCAGGCAAGGCAAGGGGACGAATCAAGGCCAGGGCCAGACGGGGCACTACAGACAAGGCTACACTATCGGTCCAAGGTCCATCTGGCACAGGGCCAGAGTTGGGATTGGAGAGAAGCTCCCTGCCATACAGGGCTGAGCTCCATGCAGAAGACAAGGCCAGCAAGAGGGCTGAGGTCACCCGCCACCCTGCTCAGGCCAGCACGGAAGAGCCTGACTGCAGCTCCAGGACCAATGTGCAGAGGGTGCACAGGAGGGATTGAGGAAGGGGCTGGTCAAGTAAAGTCTGGCCTATGTTGGTACTTACAACCTGACATGAGCTCAGCTCTCCCTCTTACCTAACATTCAGTAACTTTTACTGTTAATTGGACAGAACATTCACCTGAATATTAAAGCACAAACAAGCATGCAGTGCCTTAAATTCTAACATGTAACAACCGCAGATTTTATTTATAGTGTTTTAAAATACTATATAGTACACATACCTGTTTGCAGAAAGCTATTTTTAACCAGTTCTTCAATTACTGGTAATAAATCCACGCTTATCTCTCCATACTCTATTTTGCTGACTTTTATCCAGTTCAGTTTGCGTTGAAAAAGTCTCACATATAACTTCTGCCCACCAACTGCAAATTGTATTTCAAGTGAGGAAGGAAAAGAAGAAAATTAAATTCAAAAACATTGTGTTGCATATGCTCACTACTTTTAACCTACAAAAATGACTTTGGTAGAGCTATTAAAAGACCTGATATCTGTTAAAACACATTTTAAATTTCCTTGTCTTCTACAGATAGAATTGGTAAGACCAATACCAGAACAGTCTGACAAAATCATTTCAGAATTCCAGACTACTTCTGTTTAGTCTTCAGAGCGTTATTTTTGCCAAAATTTAAGGCGATTTTGCTATTATGAAATAGCATCAATTCAACTAAATAACATCTTGGTTAAAAATTATCTAGATAATGTGACACCATTCATCAGTCTTTGGAATTTCATCCCTCGTGAGCTGCTAACCTGTTTATCCGTGTCTGATGCTGCTCAGCTGTAACAGAACATTAATAAAAGTAGACACTGAAAAACTACCAGACCTGGATATATTTAGGAAATTGCAGTTAACTTTTACATGGTTATTAAACTGTTCCCCTGTCTTTAAATAGATTTCTCCAGATTTTTTTCAATAAAAGGTTACTAGGATCATTCCACTCAGAGAATTAGTGACATTTTAGAGAAAACAATGAAATACGGGGGAATACCTATGTTCAAATAATTAACTGAAAGTATTAAGCATATGATGATTGTTACAATAACCAACAGACATTTGTTTTGCAACTTTTAATGTGGAACAGATACCCATCTACCTGAACTTCTAAAGTATTCTGTTCAAGATCTCTTGAAGGCAAAGATATCCATCTGTTACTTGTCCAGAACTGATTATATATTGACTTAATGCTAGCCGGTCACTTCTCGTAGCTGAATCACTGTGTTTTCCCTAGCCTGCAAAGAGAGATTGCTTTACTCAGGATTCCAATAGGCAATGCAGGCATGGATTTATCAGCACAGTTTTGCTATAATTCTTCCTCTGTATTCCTAAATTCTGTTAGAGGGCAACATCCTGTTAGAGGACACCACTGAAATAGAAAGTAGTTCTTCCTTTACTTAGTGGAGAAAGTTACCACTACTAACTAAAGTTGTACTTACTCATCTAGAGAAGGGAACACAGACATAAATAAGCTCTTTCCTGAACTCTTTACTTAGCACTGGACAAAGTCGCCAAAGGCAGCATCCACTAATGCCCTAACTGTAAATTTATTGCCAGATCCCCTTTAGATGTAAACAGTATAAATCTACTACTTGCCTCATGAGACTTGTAACAAGATCTTAGCTGCTTACATTCCATTGCCTTTATATTTTCCTCTTTTAATTACCACAAGGTAAATAAGCTGTTGTCAAGCCCCAATATGTGGCCATTCAGGTGGAGGCAGCAAATTGTGAGCCGCGTCTGCAGCAAGCGGCTTGGCAGCACACCCGATTGCACAGGGTTGGCTGCTTGTGCTCAAGGAGGGCCCCAACAGGGCACGGCTGGGCTGAGCCCCGGCCTGGGCTCACTGCTGGTCAGGACATGCTCCAGGAGGTGTTGGAGTCGTGGTGTCCACTGTGCAGAGGCCTCGACACAGAGTGACCCTCTGACAGCAGATGAGCTCTACGGGTCTCGGGCTGCAGAGAGTGCTTGGGTTGTGCTGTTGTGGACAAGCTGAGTCCAGGATCTCATTGCAGTTAGAGACACCGTGGGATAGCTTACATGACTGGGGTGCTATCACAGATGGTTATGTGTTTTTAAGGAGAGACAGGCCAGGAAGTCAAGGTAGTGGAGCTGCTCTTTACATGACAGAACACCTGCAATCTACTGAGCTCTGTCTGGGAGGGGATGAAGAGCTTATGGGTAAGGATTAAAGGGCAAGCTAACATGGGAGGCACTGTGATGAGTGCTGACTACAGGCCACCAGATCAGGAAGATGAAGGCCATGATGCCTTCTACACATAGATGGAAGTAGAAATCACAGGCCCTGGTTCTCATGGGGGTCTTCAATCACCCTGCTATCTGCTGGAAAGGCAACACAGAGAGGCACAAACAGTCCCAGGGTTCCAGCAGAGAGCTCCCCAGGTGCCAGGTCCAGCCACACACCTGTCCTTGTGACTCCTCCATGACCTGTGTTAAAAGGTTATCATCAGAGCTGTTCGAAGACTGGAAGAAAGCCATGGCAGCTCTAGTCTTCAAAACGGTGAACGGAGTTCAGCTGGTGAGGGGTCATGAGCGGTGTTCCCCAGGGCTCAGTGCTGGGGCCTGTCCTCTTTAATATCTTTATCAAAGATCTGGATGAGGGGATTGAGGGCACCTTCAGCAAATTTGCAGATGACACCAAGCTGGGAGGAAGAGTTGATCTGCTTGAGGGGTGGAAGGCTCCACGGAGGGATCTGGACAGCTTGGATCGATGGGCCAAGATGAACCGTATGAGGTTCAACAAGGCCACGGGTTGGGTCTTGCACTTCGGTCACAACCACTGCATGCAGCACTACAGGCCTGGGGCAGTGTGGCTGGAGAGCTGCACAGCAGAAAAGGATCTGGGGTGGTGGTTGGCAGCTGGTTGAACATGAGCCAGCTCCATGCCCAGGTGGACAAGAAGGCCAAGGGCCTCCTGGCTGGTATCAAGAACAATGCAGCCAGCAGGACCAGGGAAGTGATTGTCCCCCTGTACTCTCGGCACTGGTAAGGCCAGACCTCGAATCCTGTGTTCAGTTTTGGGCCCCTCACTACCAGAAGGATATTGAGGCACTGGAGTGTGTCTAGAGAAGGGCAACGAAGCTGGGGAAGGGGCTGGTGCACAGACCTCAGAAGGAGCAGCTGAGGGAGCTGGGGTTATTTAATCTGGAGAAGAGGAGGCTCAGGGGAGACCTTACCGCTCTCTACAGCTACCTGGAACGAGGCTGTAGTGAGGGAGGTGAGGGTCAATCTCTTCTCCAGAATAGCTACGGAGAGGAAAGGAGGAAATAGCCTCAAGTTGCACCAGGTTAGACAGGTCTGACATCTGGAAGAATGGTTAGACATCTGGAAGAATGTCTATATGGAAAGAGAGGGCAAGCATTGGAACAGGCTGCCCAGGGCAGTGGTGGAGTCATTGGCTCAGTGTTCAAGAAATGTGCAGATTAGGCACTCAGGGACATAGTCCAGCAGGGACGGTGTTGAAGGGTTTATGGTTGGACTCAATGATCTTGAAGGTCTTTACAACCATAGCGATTCTGTGATTCTATGATTCTAAAAGGACAAACAGGAGAATTCAGGAAACTCCTGACCAGTCAGTCTCACCTCCATCCCTGGAAAAGGGATGGAACAGCTCATTCTGGATGCCATCCGCTAAGCAGATAGAGGACAAGGTGGTGATCCACTCAGCATGGATTCACCAAGAGGAACTCATACTTAATTAGTCTGATAGTCTGATATGGCGTTTGAGTCAAGAACTATGCCCTGGAGGATGAAGGGCAATCCTCTCCTCCATAACGTGGTCCCTCTCCTCCATAAATATTAAGACAGACAGAAAGGACAACCCTCCATATTGTGACCACCTCCACAAGGAAAAAGAGATGGGCTGTAGACCCACAACAGAGGGAATAGAGGGTCTGATATGTAGAAGGGGCCCTCCTCTACAGAACGCTGCTGCCTTCCTGTGGCCCGGGCTAAGGACGTCACCAGGAAACTTGCCAGCCTGGTGCCACCCACAGAGTATTAGCCGCTGCTGGTCATACATGTGGGAGGAAAGGAAGTGGCAACATGTAGCCTGGGGGCAATCAAAAGGGACTTTAGGGAATTGGGTTGGACAATCAGGAACTCAGGCCTGCAGGTCATCGTTACTTCCATTCTCCCTGGTGTTGACAGCAATATGGAAAGGAACAGGATCATACAGTCCATTAACATGTGGCTCCATGGCTGGCATGATCACCACAACTTTGGGTTTTTGGGCAATAGGCAGCCTTACATGGTGCCAGGCAGGCTGGCATCCGATGGGATTCATCTTTCCCAAGGAGGGAAGAGGGGAGCCTTGGTCAAGAGCTCACGGGGCTTATTCATAAGGCTTTAAACTAGATTCAACGGGGAAGAGGGGGGTACCATCAGGGAAGCTGGTGATAAAGTAGGGGCTGGCACACCAGCCACTCATGCCAGCCTTGCTCCAGAGCCAGCAGGATGCGCGAAGCCTGGAGAGGGAAAAGTGCAGAACAGGAGAGCTACTCAAGGCCACAGAGTCGAGTCACCTGTGCCCAGCTAGAAAGAGAGGCACGCTGGGAGCCCAACTCAAATGCCTCCATGTAAACGCAGGCAGCATGGGGAAGAAACAAGGGGACCTGGAGATGTATGTGCGGTTGCAGGGCCGTGATCTCATCATGATTACTGGGACGTGGTGGGACAGCGCTCCCTGCTGGAACGTGACCATGGATGGCTTCAGGCTTCTTAGGAAGAACAGGCCGGGAAGGCGAGGTGGCGGAGTTTCTCTTCACGTGAGAGAGCAACTGGAGTGTATGGGGCTCTGCCTGGGGGAGGATGAAGTGCGAGTCAAGACCCTGGGGGCAAGGATTAAAGGGCAGCCCAGCAGGGGTGACTCGGTGGTTGGTGTTTGTTTACTACAGGCCTCCTGAGCAGGAAGAAGTGGATGAGGCCTTCTACAAGGCAGCTGCCACAAGCTTTATCATCACAGACTCCTGATCACAGAATCACAGAATCATTATGGAAAAGACCTTACTAAGGAGGGTTCAAACATCCCAATGTCTGCTGGGATGACCACACAGCCAGGAACAGACAGGCCGGGAGGCTCCTGCAGAACATGGCAGATGAGAATAACTTCTTGATGTAGGTGGTAGATGAGCCCAGGAGGACAGGGTACTGTTGGACCTGGTACTAACAAACAAGAGACTGTCTCGTTGGAAATGTGAAGGTTGGGAGCAGTCTCAGCTGTAGCGACCGTGAGATACTGGAAGTCACACTCCTGTGAGTAGGAAGCTGGGCAAGACGTAGGATTGCAACCCGGGACTTCATGGGAGCTGTCTTTGACCTCTCCAGGGACCTACGTGGAGGAATCCCCTCGGCCAGGACACTAGAGGAAAGGGAGTCCAGCAGAGTTGGCTAATATTCATTCAAGCAGCCAGGTCATGCAAGGGGGGCAGGAGACCTGCGTGGATGGGCAAGGAGCTCTTGCGAAAACGTAAACAGAAAAAAAGAGCATATACAATGTGCAAGAAGGATCAGATCAGGTGGGAAGCATATAGGAACAAGGCGAGGGAAAGCCAAGGCCCATTTGGAATTAGAGTTAGCAAGAGATGCCAACAGGAAGGGCTTCTGCAAAAACCTCAGCAGCAAGAGGAAGACTAGGGAAAACGTGGGCCCCACTGCACAACGGGGTGGGAGCCTTGGTGACGGAGGATGCAGAGCTGGCAGAGTTACTAAATGCCCTTCTTTGCTTCAGTCGTCACTGCTAAGGCTGGTCCCCGTGAACCACAGAGCCCGGACACAAGAGAGAGAACTGGGAGAGAGGAAGAGTTTCTACCAGTCAAGGAGGACTGAGTTAGAGATTAGTTAGGCAAACTGGACCCCCCATCTACCAGTCAGGAGGACTGAGTTAGAGATTAGTTAGGCAAACTGGACCCCCCATAAATCTGTGGGCCCAGATGGCACGTACCCAAGAGTGTTGAGGGAACTGGTAGGGGTTGCTGCTCTGCCACTCTCCATTATCTTTGAGACTGGAAGGAAGGCAACATCACTCCAGCCTTCCAAAAGGGCAAGAGGGAGGAGCAGGGAAACTGCAGGCTGGTCAGTCTGCCCTTCGTCCCTGGGAAGGTGGAGGAGCAGTTCGTCCTAGAGACCATCTCTAGGTATGTCAAGGAAAAGAAGGTGATCGGGAGGAGTCAGCATGGATTCACCAAGGGGAAGTCGCGTTTGACCAGTGTGACAGCTTTCTATGATGGGATGCCTGGCTGTTTGGATGAGGGGAGAGCCGTGGATGTTGTCTACCTTGACTTCAGCGAGGCTTTCGACACTGTCTCCCACAACATCCTCATGGGGAAGCTCAGCAAGTGCGGGACAGATGAGTGGACAGGGAGGTGGATTGAGATGGCAGAGCTTAGAGGGTGGTGATAAATGGGGC